CCTCCAAGTCCATCTTGTCGCAAACATGAGATTATGTAAGCATAGCCTACATTTGTATGCATTCATTTATTTAAATGTTCATTAACTCTACCAACTATCCTGAGTAAGATTCAGCTCATCGCTTTTGTCGTTTCACAGTGTCACTCTGAAGAATGGTGCAGGACAGAAATGCATGAATCCTGAGTCAAAATTCACTAAAAATGTCATAATAAAGGCTCTTGAAAAGAGGTGAGAATATTTGCTTTAAGTTTATTTACTTATCATTTACATATTCAATACAAAGACATAAACTCATCTGGCAGAGGGAGACACATAGCAATTAAATAAATGAATGAATACAAATATAATAAATTAACTTTTTTCTGATTTTGCAGGAGCCAACAGTCTGTGCCACACAGTACATCTGTCACTGTGCCACTGAAGAACATCCTGACATCAACACCATCAGCACCAACATCCTTCAAATGAATCCATAGACTTAATATGTATTCATACACTGCCTAAATAAGTTGGGATTCAATTTAGAAAAAAAAAAAACTTAAAATATGAACTAATGCCTAAGCTGATAAAATTATTTTTATGTGAGCACTGCATGCGTTGTAAAAAGCCTTAATGTTTTATTTAATTTTTCACAAACATATTTTCATAAGACCACTGAACAATGTGTCATATGTACAGTCTTTTTAAATTTGATGTATGATTTTATTTTCATTGTCCTCAAAGTGTTAAATAAAGATTTTTATCTACAAATTACATCTTCTGACTTCTTTTAGAGTAGTTCTTGCATTCTGAGATTCTGAATAAAAATGCATGATGCTATTGACATTTATGATAAGCAATAGTTCCACAGGAATCACTAAAACATCACAAAATTCAATAAAGCTTTCAAGATTACTATCGAAAACATTGTTTCACAAATACATTTTATGTGAATAGTTAAGACTAAATTGACTGGATTTAATGTTCCTGTCTCAGTTATAAGCTGCTGGTTATGACTGATCAGGGCTGCGTTTCCCAAAAGCATCGTGAGCCTATAGTTGATCGTAGAACAATTGCCACCAATGGTCTCTACAATCAATTTAGGCTTACGATGTTTTTGGTAAACCCAGCCCTTGCTGGTAGAAAGACTTTTGTCAGTGCAATCTAATGTAGATTTAGTCATATTAAACAAAATTTTGACATGAATAAATTAATTTAGATAATTTAATTGGGTTTAGAAGGTTTTTGAAGTATAATTTTATAATGTAGGGTTTACAAGGCCATGCACATACACATATGTAAAGTGATATATATATATATATACTATATATACTGTATATACACACACATATTGTATATATACCAAATCTCAATCTTTTTTTCTTTTTTCTTTATATTAAGTTGGACATAAGCATGTCCAATTGTATCTTCATACATACAGTATACTTGTGTAGAATGATATTTCTCAACTGCTTGATTGCTTGTACAATTGCGAAAAAAATAAACTTTATTTTCGACTCGCTCTAATCTGCTAATTGCGACTATACGTCACGAAAGTATTAAGATATTATAAACATTAACATCATGATTTTCTGTAAAGCTGATTTGAAACAATATAAGAAGCATTACAAATGCAGTTTTTATTTGGCAATCACCAATAAGTTTGACTTGACTTGATAAATCAACTGAAAAAGCCACATTCCCATTTTACTCACAGAATTAAAACCAAAACACACATAAAGCTACTTCCAACAGTGATCAAAGGAAGCTGTAAAAGCTCCTCTCATAAACATGGGAACTTCCACTCTGGCTGTTGTTGGTTGCTTTTTGCAAATCCTCATTACTAATGGAAGAAAAAAAATGACCAATTAGTCTCTCTTGAAAAAGGTAGAAAGGAGGTGGTCAGTCATTATCTGCTCTATCCTGCAAACAGATCATCATTAGTTCTTTGATAGCTTATTTATGACGACGGTTTATATTTCATTTTACAGAATGTGATGAAAAAGAGTGAACGGTGAGTACAAATAAACAACAAAGTATGTGTTCGTTGTTATTTTCAGTGTATCATTACAGCGGGCATTGAGGACCCATACAGCATTGCTATATATTGCTATAATATTATATATCACTAAAATAAAATTATACAAGTAGTTATACCAGTCTTTTTCCCCACATTGATGTAATTTGTGCCTGTTAATTTGTCATTTGTGCACACATTTGTTCAATAAGCAATGAGTTCTTATTGAGTGACGTACAGTACATTTTTGACACAATATTGTCAGTTTCTTTTGTCCATAATTCCTCAGCTAACAAAAATAGTTCAAAACGAAGCCACACAAAATTAAATATGACACATATTTTGCTAGTGAATGAGTTGAACAGTTGTTGAATAATTGACAGACAAATCAAATAGCATTATCCCGGTCAAAGAGACACCTCTGAATTACATTATAATTCTATGAATCATAAAAATGCCTATATTTTTGAATGGCCTAAAGGGGTGTCAAAATAATTAAAATTCAGACTGAATGATTCTGCTCGATGAAGAATAATGAAGATGTTTGTGTACAATTTATAAAAGATGAATATCTGTCTGGCCATCTGAGATTTTTGTATGTAGAAAAACATTAGGGTCATGATCTTTCGATAGTTTTACATCACATCATGAGTGAATATTAGCACCATGTATTGTTTGCTTTTGGCATCTGGCAGTGTTTGGACTATGGAAATGGACCGGTGACATGTGACGTCAGACTTAACAAGCAGATTGTGACGTATATCCAAGTGAAACGGCTTCTTGAACAAAGAAAAAGGTGGGTCAGGACTTGATTTTGACCATTAAGAATTGGTTGGATGGTTGTGGTTTGCTATTGCTGTATTCTCATGAGTGACAGGTTGATCCCGCCCTCGCGCCAGTAAACACATCATCAGAGAAGAGAAGAGATGTCGCTGCAAGAGGGAGGGAAGTTATTTTTATTAAAGATTACGAGTTCACATTCATTTAAAAAGAAAATTACGATACGCACGGATAAATCATAAATAAAACACAAACTTTGGTTGACAGTTTAGTTGATTGTGTGAGAGTCTTGTCAAATTCTGATTGTTTTCTAAACAGACAATACTATCCACAATTCCAACACTACAAGACAGGAATACAAGTGTTAATCTAACGAGTTTGAGGAGAACTAACTCCATAACAACAAAATATGGACCACATCTGGTTACTTAAAATCTTGGTCTAGTTAATAGAAACTGCAATCAGTTCATTGAATGTATTTACAGTAACTCGTATAATTAAAAAATGTCTCTATAATAAAAAGTAACTGTATATTATACAGTTCATGCATAATCACTCTGTTTTCACAAATATAAGTAGCAGATGAAGTGGCATTTCCAGATTTCACAACAAGACTTTCAGTTTCTCTTTCATTTTCATCAGCATGATTGACATTTATCAGCATGACTTCAACACAATGTCTATATAAAGAAAAAGGTAGTGAAAACACTTGATGATGTTCCAGTGAAATGAGAAGTTTTATGTAATGCCCTGATTTTGTTTATGTCTCAAACTGTTTGGTATTTCTACATTTGAACTCTGATTAATCACAATTTCATCATTAGAACATTTTCATTATTCAAATATTTAAAAATCTGAAAACAAAAGTTATTTGCTGTATATTTAAACTGTATATGGCATAAGCCAGACATTTTTAAACTTAAATGCTGAAGGTTTGGTTTATGTAAAGTTATCCTGAAACATATCTGGCTCACCAAGCATGTGTCATTTGAATAACCCACGAGTGCTTATAATAAATATAGAATAACCTATATACTGGACACTTTTATCAAACATTACCATGTGTTGCACCTGGACTAATGTCATCCTGAGGTCATCATCGGGTGTTTTCGGATCTTTCTACAGTCAGACACTATCACCGAAGTGACCCAGCTGCCTCCTTGGCCGACTTAATGCCCCTTTGTCTACTGGCCCCATTGCTACCCATGCTATAGGCCCTGCAGAAAGACTGCGCTGCAAACCCTCTGTATCCCCCCAATAGGCTCAGAGCCTCGCAATAGGCAGCACTCTTGTACCAGACAAACAACACATTTATCGTCAATATTTATGTTAGCATCTTCAACTTTTCACCATCATGTCTGACGAATATTGTTTACACTGAGGACTTTTCTGAAAGAGGTTGTGAAAATGTTTGACCATCTTCCACAGAAAACGCGTTTTGTCCCACATCCTATTTTGTGGTTACTTAATGCCTTTGTAAAATATGTCCAACATCCACAAGCACACCAGCAAAACCAGTGGGTGTTAACCACACTTTGTGATTAATTTATTTATTTCACAGTCCAAAGTTTCTGTTAGAGGACAGCACTTTCATCACTACAAGGGTAAATATTTGTACATTTTAGAAAGCTTAGGAGTGTTAACACCAGATCACCAGGATTCAGTCAGATTTAATCCATAGAAAATGTTGGTTGCTTCTTGCACTGTGTGTTTTACCTTTATTCTTTCAAACAATGGGTCATTAGTCTGCTCCATTATAGTATTTTGCTTCATTAAAAGTTACTGTATAGATTGTGTTGAAAAATGTTTGGTTATTGTGCATTTTCCATCTTTCTCTGTATTGCTACCTTAATTTGTGCACACAATATAAGATTTGATGTGTTTAAAAACAACCATTAAAAGCCATCAAACTCAGTCAATCACCATGTTTGACATGCCCTAACCTTCAGTGTTTTAGCCTAACGTCTAATAGTACTCTCACCATTATAATTAACATCAAAATTTCAGTCTAATTAAGCAATATTAACTTCCTCATTCGTGGAAAGTTCAGAGTGCCATAAATCAAAGCTTCTTCTTTTTTCAAGATGGTTTAGGAGGTGCTTCTGAGAAATCACAATAAAAAGAGAAAAAGGGGAGGAAGCTGGATAGTGAAAAAAAAAACGAGAACAAAAACTGAGGGGAAACCCCTGGTCCTAGAGTATTTAAATGAGCTCTGAATGCCTTCAGTCATAATCTCACTGACCCAGACAAGCACAGTTCATCGAGAACAAGACAATGACGACTATTGCAGCTTTTGTTCTTCTTGCCTGCCTGATTGCTGTAGGAGTAAAAGGTGAGTTTGATCTCTGAGAGTTATAGATCAAAATCTTTTAGCATATCTTGTATTTTTGATTATGGTGATGTTCTGCAGCTAATAGACTATAATGACATTTCTTTTCCAGGGCAGGACAGGTCTTCAAAGGGCAGGTGCTTTTGTGCAGACAAAGGTGCAAACATGGTTTTAGTGAAGAACATCGAGAAGGTTGAAATCATCCCTCCAAGTCCATCTTGTCGCAAACATGAGATTATGTAAGCATAGCCTACATTTGTATGCATTCATTTATTTAAATGTTCATCAACTCTACAAACTATCCTGAGTAAGATTCAGCTCATCGCTTTTGTCATTTCACAGTGTCACTCTGAAGAATGGTGCAGGACAGAAATGCATGAATCCTGAGTCAAAATTCACTAAAAATGTCATAATAAAGGCTCTTGAAAAGAGGTGAGAATATTTGCTTTAAGTCTATTTACTTATCATTTACATATTCAATACAAAGACATAAACTCATATGGCAGAGGGAGACACATAGCAATTAAATAAATGAATGAATACAAATATAATAAATTAACTTTTTTCTGATTTTGCAGGAGCCAACAGTCTGTGCCACACAGTACATCTGTCACTGTGCCACTGAAGAACATCCTGACATCTACACCATCAGCACCAACATCCTTCAAATGACTTCATAGACTTCATAGTTGGAGTTCAATTTAAAAAATAAATAGATCTCAAAATATTCAAAACATTTCTTAATGCCTAAGATGATTAATAATTATTATATATATTTTTTAATCTGAGCACTTGGTTGTAAATAGTTTTTTTTTTCCACAAAAATGTTTACATAAGACCACTGAACAATGTGTCATATGTACAGTCTTTTTCATAATTTAATGTATGATTTTATTTTCATTGTCCACAAAGAAGTGTTAAATAAAAGCTTTTTATCTACAAATTAAATCTTCTGACTTCTTTAGAGTAGCTCTTGCATTCTGAGATTCTGAATAAAAATTCAGACATTTATGATTTGCAATAGTTCCACAGGAATCACTAAAACATCACAAAATTCAATAAAGCTTTCAAGATTACTATTGAAAACATTGTTTCACAAATACATTTTAAGTGAATAGTTTAGACTAAATTGACAGGACTTAATAATGTTCCTGTCTCAGTTATAAGCTGCTGGTTATGATTGACCTGGCTGGTAGAAAGATTTTTACATTTACATGACTCACAAATGAGAACAATAGAAGCCATTAAATCAGCAAGAGAGTAACAGAAGGCTATGGAAGTGATGTGGCAAGTCCTAGTTAGTCTAGCAAAGTGCACATTTTTAAAAGGTGTTTTATTAACAAAGTTCGGGAGGAGCATATTCAGATAGTTAAACACATGTGGAGCACATTCAGATAATCAAAGCTAATTAAACACGAGTGGAGCACATTCAGTTAATCAACCCAATCAACAAGTTAAGAGGTATACAGCAGACTTACCTCCGTTCGTTGACAGTTTAACAGCATTTGGCCCCGCCCTACCTTCCTAACATATGCGAATCGAGCTCTCCTTTTCACGTATTTCTCTAAACCGAACCCTTCAATAATTCCTGCCATAGAGAAATGGACAATAAGGCCCGGCGAGCACCACGGTCGCGTCTCGGGCAATGCCGCCCTCTTCACGCGAAGGAACGGGCCTTCCTCCAGTGTCAGGCCGCCGTCCTCAGTGAGCCGAGCCACAGATTCAGTCCCGGCCAGCCCACACTCTCAACCTCTGCCGGGTCAGGTCTGTGAGTGCTCAGCTCAAAACCTTCTCGTTTTCTGTCCCTGGTTGAACTTCGCATCGCTTCAACAGTTGAATCACAAGCAAAGTCATGCCATCTGGATACTCATTTTGATTGGGGGAATACGCATTAAATGGTTTCTGTACAAAATTAATTACCGTCATTGAAGGGTTAGTACACCCAAAAAGGAAAATTCTGTCAGTACTCACCCTCATGTTGTTCTTTCGTTCATCTTCGGAACACAAAATAAGATATTTTTGATTAAATCTGAGAGCTGTCTCACTCCTCCATAGGCTTCCATTGTAATTGAAACCTGCCGGCCCAGAAAGTTAGTAAAAACATTGTTAAAATAGTCCAAGTGACTACAGTGACTCAACCTAAAGTTTATCAAGCGAGGAGAATACTTTTTGTGCGAAAAAACAAACAAAACGACTTTATTCAACTATTCATCTTCTTCTGTGTGGGCCTCTGAGTGAGTTCGCGTAGCGTAACAGCACAGCGCAGCGCTACGTCAGAACTTCGGCTCACTATTGGCCAGCATCACACTCATGACCAGCGTCGGCCAATGAAAAGAAGATGAAAAGTTTAATAAAGTCTGTATTTTTATTTATTTTTTGCGCACAAAAAGTATTCTCGTCGCTTGATAAACTTAAGGTTGAGCCACTTTAGTCACTTGGACTATTTTATCGATCTTTTTTGAGTCTAGTTCCATGAACGTTGCTCTAAGGACATTTTCTCCCCATGTTACGAGAATGTATTTTATATAAACATTATAAGACCATTCCAGAAACATTATTTTAGTAACGCTTTTTACTAACAGTTACATAACTTTTACATAACGTTAGTGAAAGTTATGGGAACTTTCCCTGATCTCCTTCTGATCATCAACCATAAATCCAAGGTTCCTGGATGTCCTGGAAGGAGTTATGGTTGACGAACCTAGCAGAATGGAGAAGTTGTGATGAAGTGTTGGGTTGGCCGAGACCACAAGCAGTTCTATCTTTGCAAGGTTGAGTTGAAGGTGATGGTCTTTCTTTCAAGCTCTAAGCCCTGAGGCACCCCATAGCTAGAAGTTGCGACCTCACCCCACCACGACACCCTGAAGGACCTACCTGAGAGGTAATATTTGAACCCCTGGTGTGCGGTTCCTGAGATGCCATTTACGTTATGAGGGATGACAGGAGGATCTGGTGGTTAACTGTGTCTAGAGAAGCAGACAGATTCAGAAAGATGAGTACTGATGATTTGGAAGCTCTTCTTGCCAGTCTCAGAACTTCAATAACTGAGAGCAGGGCAGTCTCAGTTGAGTGGCAGCTTTTGAAGCCAGACTGGTTGTTGTCCAGGAGGTTATTTTGTGTGAGAAAGGTAGAGACTTAGTTGAACACGACTCGCTCAAGCGTCTTAGAAATGAATGGAAGAAGAGATACCGGTCTGTAGTTTTCTAAAAGTGCTGGATTAAGAGTGGGTTTCTCAAGCAGTGGGGTTATCCGAGCCTGCTTGAATGCTGTGGGGAAGGTGCCAGTGAGAAGAGAGGTGTTGATGATGTGAGTGAGTGCCAAGGGGGTAATCCATCGACCGGAAGTTGAAGCCGGCCGGGTGCCGCCATGTTGTAGCAGAACTTCACTTGCGTTAGCATTTCCATTGACTCCCATTCATTTTGGCGTCACTTTGACAGCGAATAACTTTACATCTGAGGCGTTTAAAGACTCCATTTGTCCATTATTTATTTCTAAAGAAACACGACAATGTATAAAGGGCTCCATTACCTTCTATGTTACATTATGGCCCCGTAGAAACAGATATTGTAAAAATAGGCTAACGATTGCGTCATAACCACTCGACTCTCTGTCGCGCTGTACAGAAATTACCGTACAGACAGGAGGAGAAGCTCGCAGGCAATCGGGGAGACGTCCCGTCAAGGGAGAAGCCCATAGATAATGAGTCCATAAAAGCAACGGAATACTTACTCCTGCTCACTCACGCCAAAGAACTCTTTGCTCAAGTTCCCCGTCTCTGCCAGATTAACGTTGGCAGTTTTCACGCACAGCTACTAGAAGATTCACGTCTGTCAGACAGGTTGCTCACGTCATCAAGCTTAGTTTGAGTCGGTCTGAGTCTGCGCGTCAGGAACGGAAGTGCTCAAAAATCGCTAAAAGTGGGCTTTAACTGTCTCAACTGAGTTCCAATGAGATCGCTCTGTCCATTTCTTTTACTGTCTATGGTGAGTGCAGGTACAACTGAAGAAGAAATGGCTTGAAGGAGATGAGTGGGTATAGGATGAATCGGACAGGTAATAGGGTAATTGGAAAGAATGAGTTTAGAGACTTTTGTCTCCGAGCGCAGAGAGAAGGAGGGGAAGTGTGTGTGCCTGCTGTTAATATGTGTTTGTCAGTTTATGGTGTGAAAAATTGGCAGTTGATGGTTGTCGCTTTATTTATGAAGAATGTGGCAAAGTCGTCAGCTGTCAGAGTTGATGAAGGAGAGGGGGGATGAGGACAAAGAAGAGAGGAAAGGTATGTCGTTTCAGTAGTGGAGACATTTGGAGAGAGTGACTGATACAAACTCAGATCAGTGGGATCTTTCGGTTTGCACCACTTCCTCTTTGCAGCCCTGAGTTTCACGAGTTCACAGTTACAAATAAGTCAGATAGATTAAATGGTATGCGTATCTGGCATGCTGTCCAAGGAGAGGGCCGAACCCAGAGTACTCTCCACAAAAAGTTGTAAACTAATGTGGGACAGCAGTCAGAAAATGATGTTGATAACCCCCAAAAACTTGCAGAGCGCGAAGCTGAAGGTGTGCCAATCGTAGGGAGGGGGTTAGTCAATGGATCAGGAGGGCTTCTTGCATCATCAGATGAAAGTTTGATGGTTGTGGTATCAGAAGGGTGAGCTTCGCTGGTAGTCGGCTATGGAAGGTCTCACATAGGTGAGCTCTTCCGGGAGCAAGAGAGATAATGCTGCTGCGGCAGTGAAGTCGGGGTTATACGGAGAAACTGAGCTCCTGCTGGAGTGGAGGAGTTAGCACTGCTGCGGCAGTAGATGTATGTTGAAAGGAGAAACGAGGCTCCTATGGGAGAGGAGGAGACGACTGCTGCAGCAGGGGAACCAAACGTGAGTTCTGATTGGCTGTGGGTTTTGATTGATTTCTATGCATCTCACAGTCACGTCGCATCTAGTGTGGACAGACAAATTATTTGTCGCTGGAATCTTATCGCATCGCTTCTGGTTAGGACACGGTGTTAGGGTGAATTCAGGTTGATGATCGGCACTGAGGAAAACAAAGCACTACACGTTATAATATGACATTAACACTCAACAAAGGACTAGGGAAAATGAAGGGCTTAAATACACAAGGACTAGAGACAGGTGCTTAACATTATCAGTAACCATAGAAACAAAAAAGGATCAGGACCAGAACAGAACCAAACCAAAACACAAAGAAACTAACATACTCCTGACAATAACACAGAGTTCAAATTCTAATCAAGTACTTTATGTGTGCTTCAGTACGTTAGTCAACGTAAAATAAGTGCACTTCTTTAAATAATTACAAAACGTTAAAAAACAATGATTTAAAGCTGCAGTCCGCAATTTTTCCTCTTTGTCTTCATCTCTGTTCGAAATCTGCAATTGCAGTCATTCGCGGAATTATCAACTTTACGTGAGTTGTACTTCAACACCCTCGACACGGCACAGCGCGGATGAACACAATGTTTGAGGAGAGTGTGCAGCTGTCAGTCACCGCGCCGATGTGGATAATGGCATTCAGAATCACAGATTATTCTTTTTGGAAGTATGACCAACATAAGAATTTTCACCGGAAAATGTCATCTGAACTAGTAAGAAACATCCACTTTTGTTCTGGTTCTGACATTGCAGTAAACCGTGCTGATTATACTTTGTTCTCAAATTGTTAATGTTAACAACGTCAGCATTGCGTGACAACATGTAATGTCCTTCCGATATGTATCCTTGTTTTCGCATGGGTCCGGTTGCAGTCTCTTTTATTCTGTAGCCACTCCGAAGTCCAAACGAAGTCTTTTGCATTTTATAACGGGTGAATCTGTTGTCACTGGTGATTGTTGTTTGAACCTTTCTTGATCCACCATCAAATTGATAAGTTTAATTATATCAAGTGCTGTGAGAAAAGTAAATCTCCACCTCCAGCATCCTCA